ATTTAAACAACCTATTCAAATCAATTCAGTAGTTAAATATGGTAAATATTAATTTAAACTTTTATAAGATATTTTTGCATTAGAATTTCGTTTTATCAATACATTAAATGAAATGAAAATGTTCATTTTATAATTTTAAATTCTAATAATTATTGTAAAATAATATTTACAGATTGTGTAAATTTAAATAAATGATAAAAAAAAAAATTCTAATAAAAACCTAATATATACATTTACAAATTGTATTGAGAAAATTATTTTTTTTTAAGGTATCTAACCTGAAGGACATGCCATTACTTCAACATAATCGTATGTACATCTTTTACTTTTTAATTTTTGCACAAGGTTTTGTATGTTTCTAAATCCATTGGCTATAGCAAAACGTAATACAACAACTCCATTAACTTCTAGTGTAGCTTCTTTCATATCTATATTCCTGTAACATACAGTTTTATGAATTATTTAAATTCATTAGTGGAATTTTAGTTTAGTACAAACCTTAAAGGTTTAAATTCTACTTTGTCAATATTAATATTAAATAATTCCTTTGCTGCATAACAAAATATATGATGTGCATATCCTCCAGATCCAGAACCACTGCTAGTAAACAAATTATGATTATCTTCTGTAATATTATTCATCCCCGTATCAAATTTTTCAGGAGCTATATCATTGAAAATTATGCCTTGCTTGACCAATAACGCATCCACTTCAACTAAAATGTATTCTGAAATGTATTATACTATATTTGCAAATATCTTTAAAATTAATACGTACTGGAAGTAATTACACAATCAACATCTTTAGTTTGAGTATTTACATCAAAAAATTGATCCCTCGATGCTTCCAACTTTTTGTCAAAACAAGGCATAACAGTCAAATGATATATATCAGTTCTAGGTTTATTTCTCAAATTTGAAACAAAATCTTTTATAAATGAACCCATTATTTGTTGAGGAGACTTCACACGACTAATATATGGTAGTATAAAATTCCCATGAGTTTTCTCTGCATAACACACCMAACCTAAACACAAAATAATTAATTCTAAAACACCAGTTGCTATAATTTGTTCCAAGAGAGAACTTGCCAGGTCTGAGCATGTGGAATATGGAATCTACAAGGAATTTGAGAATTTGTTGGAAGCACAATATATGATGTGCTTAGTTGACCAGTTTTTGTTATCAAAAAACATTTTCTCTTGGGGGAACAGAATATGAGTATAGTGATAGTATTAGATTTAATCACTTTACCTGGACATGAGGACGCTAACATGGGCAATATTGTCTGAACTTTTGACACTTTTGCTGATTTATATCTTTCTATAAATTCGTTTTGAGATTCTAATAATGCTAAGTCTTCAGCAAGTTTAATATCCAATACTAAATCTGCACCCAATTTTTTGAAATACCCTGTTAAGTTTGAATATCATAATTAGATATTGATACTATACATTGCAATAATACTAATATACAGCATATATCAAAAAAAAAAATTACAACTTTACATCCTGTGTACATTAGGCAAGCAATATTAATAAAGTGGGATATCTTACATTTATTATAGTACTAAAAACCAACACAGCACTTTTGAAAACTGTATAAAACAGTTAAATAAACATATGAGCTAATTCATATTTATCACATAAACATTGGTAATTACTAATTAGTTATTAACATTTTAATTATTAAACTATCAAAAAAATAAATAAAGTTTACCACATAATTTTGATGCAGCAGATTCGACTGTAATATTTTTACTATTCGCAATTGATACACAGGATTGAATAGAAATAGAAACAACTATGAATTTTTTATTATCAAGTGCCTGGAATATGAGAGTAATTAATACATATGTTATGGAAATAATAATAAAACTAAGTTTAACTGCATTTACATTTTGTGCTTCAAAAACACGCATCATTTCATCAGTACTTTGTTGTTGAACGAGAACAGTTTCGGCTGAAGTTATACAACCACTACATGCTAAACAATCGGTCAGAGAAATTTCTACTTGTTTTAATTTTTCACTTTTGCCGTTCTGTAAAAATAAAATCACTTAAGGTATGAAAAAATATAAAAAACTAACCTAATTAATGACATCAATATCAGTAAGTTTAATTAAGATATCACAGTGTTTTTTTAAATTTAATTATGATAATAAAAGAAATATTAAGTTTAATATTTTTAATTTTTAATTAGTTAAGACTACATGATAGAAATAGGATTAATATTATCCAAAGAAAAAATTGACAGACATTGATTTGAGTTAATTTATTTTAAGCGTGGAAATAATTAATAAAATATCTAAACATGTATTATTTGTTAAAAATTTGGTTTAATGGGCAATGCTAATATTTTAGATGATACTATGATATACTTTTACCATTTTATAATTTTGATAATATCTAAAACCACAACAGCAGTAGTTAGTCCATTTAGACTACAATTAAGCCTAAAGACTAAGCTTTAGCTATACATCTATAATGTCATAGGCGGAAATGGAGGGGGCTTAGCCCCCTCAACATTTTGTCAGGTTTCATGTGAAAAGTGATTTTATTTGAATATAGTTTTTTTTTAGTTAATTTAGCCCCCCCCCCCCAGAAACTACTAGAGGTTGAAGAACTGTCAAAATCATCTAAATCAATCTATATACCAGATCCAACTCACACATCAAACCCAGAAATTTCTATGGATTTATGCCTATGTATAATGTACAATTTCTCTAAGAAGTGTTCTATATGATATACCTAGATTTCTGATAAATATGAATTTAAATGATACTAATTTCATATAAAATATTATGTTCAAATTGTAATACCAGGTGTGTTTTCACAAATAGTTAAACTATATTATAATCATGTAGGTATGTAAATTCAGAAGTATGTTCATCAGGAGTCAAAACTATGAGTTTTACTACTTTATACTTATTCTTCGAACTATTTAATATTAAATTAAATATACATTAGTATTATTCAAACAATTACTTTAGATTCTTGGACATAAGAACCATCGTCTCCAATTTTGATTTTTGCTCCTGTTCCTAGAGATGATTTTTCAAATTGCACTGGTTTTATACACTCCTTTAAAATTATACAACATAAGTAATGAGTAAAAAATGTTATAAGAAAAATTATAGTTCGTCACCTGGGATGGAGTAATAAAATCGTCTAAATCGGTTAATTTTAAAGCACCACTGAATCCTGAAGAAATCATTATGAACTGTGAAATTTTAGAATTATGATACAAAATCAGAAGTCAAAAATTTGCAGTAACTACTACAAACAGTTAAATTATAATTAGCAAACTATGTAAGTAAAATAAATGTAGATAAATAAAAACCGTAATTAAGGATTTTCTTAAATATAATCATGACAACTTTTATCATGAATATAATATAGTAGTACCCATGACTAAATAAATAGGTATGATCACAACTTTGTGATACGCATACCACCCCTTACCTCGTCTATCGCGTAGTTCTCCGCTTCTGATTGGTTGTTAATTTATCTCGTTTTAAACTATTTTGTTAGCTAGTTTTGATAGACGAGACAATACTACAAAATATATTATTATTACTATAGACTATAGTACTAAACTACTAGATATTAGATAAATATTGCAATGTATTTAAATATTATTTACAATTTATAAGACTTAAGTTTATATTTTTATAACAATTAATACTTAAACTAATTTTTATTTTTATTAAATGTTATTTACATATTATGTACATAGGTTAATATAGGTGTACATAATTACGTATTAAAGTATTATTAATTTGTAAATTTAATTTTTTTCAGTTTGTCTGATTGTTTTTGTTGTTTTGTGATTAATTGTTTATTTAAATTATTTAATCTGATGTATGTTCGTGTTCTAATAAGGCAGTGTAATACTT